GTCCCCCAAAATGGATTCCTCCTCTCCTCCCTTTCTCTGTCTTTCTGGGCAGTCTTTTCTGCCTCACGGGCAAAAAACTCAAACAGAGTAGTCATCCTCTCGCTGGGTTTTGGTCCGGTGATTCAGTCACGATCCTCAGTGTTGGAACCCAATTGCAGAGAGGCGAGCGAGGCAGGAGTTCAAAAACAAAAACAATATATTTTTTTTAACAACAAAACAAAAGGCTGTCGGTGCAGCAAAACTTACTTGGGCAGATAGGATCAGAAACAAGGCAGAGCAGATAATCAGGTGGACAAGAAACAGACAAGACAGAAGAGGACTGAGATGTCTGTAAACACAGAACAATCACCGGACAAGGAGTGAAGGAGAGAAAGGCTTTTTATATAACAGAGGGAGAGTGAGTAATGAGAGCACCTGGGCAGGTGGCTGATGAGGAACAGGTGTGAATGATAAAGACTGAGTGGAGAGGCAGACTGAGGAGTGAGTGGAAAATAACAGAATCAGATAAACAGAAAATCACACACAGAGCAGAACAACAAAAATATAAAGAGCAGACAGAGACAGAACCTGTCAAACAGAACTTAGAATGTAATTAAAGTGGCACATTTACAAAGCACCTTGAAAAGGAAGGAAATGATTTAGTTTGTGGGATAACAGGACCAGATACACAAAAACAGAAAACACACAAAGAGCAGAGGCTTAGGCAGATGGGGGGGCAGCGGGGGCCGCTGACCGTGACACAGACAGGCCCCCTCCCTCTCGGTTTTCAAGTTCCGTTTAAAAACTCACTACTATTCAGTAGCTTTCAACACCAGATGATCTGTGTTTTGAACCTGTATGCTCCACACTGGTTTGTCGTCATCATCTGCATCGTTTTTGTCTATATTCTGATTTACCTCATTTTGTATTTTGCTTTATGTGTTACCTGTTGTTTTGTCTGTACAGCACTTTGGTTGGCCTTGTAGCTGTTTTAAGTGCTTTATAAATAAAGTGGTATGGTATGGTATGGTATGGTAAGACAAGACAAGATAGAACTTTATTAATCTCACAGGAAATTGTCGTTGGAATGGTTGGAAATGGTTGGAAACCTAGGAATCCCACAGTCTTTATGTGTCCCTGTGATGGACTGGAGACTTGTCCCCTGCCTCTCACACAGTGATGGCTGGATATGGGCACCAGTGACCCCTGTGACCCAGAAGGAAGAAGTGGGTAAAGAAGATGGATGGATGGATGGATGCATGGTAAATTTAGTAAAAAGCAGTGGTTTTATTTCTCATTCAAAAACCCATCATGTTCTGGTTCTGTCCTTGGCAGTGGTGCATGTTACCACAGGTTCTGACTGATGACCACAGTCGCTGGAGGATATATTCATTCAGTTTCAGGTCATCAGAGAAAGGTAATAAAACCAACCACTGAAGCTGTACATAACCAGGGTTTCAACTTTGTCCTGAAATCTCCCTTCAGCTGTGTTCACCACCATATCTGAAACTAGTTTGGGGCTTTAGCTCGAGTTTTTATTCTCTACCACAGTGTTACCCAACCCTGGTGCTTGAGGAACACCATCCTGCATGTTTTAGTTGTTTTCCTGCTCCAACCCACCTGATCCAGTGATATGATTACTTCATCAAGTTCTGCAAAAGCCTCTTAATCACCCATTAATTAAAAGTAGTTGTGTTGGAGCAGAGAAACAACTAAAACATGCAGAATGGTGTTCCTGGGCAGCATAGTGGTGCAACTGGTAGAGCTGCTGCCTCTCAGCGAGCAGGTTACCCTGGTTCAAATCCCCTCCGTGGGTCTTTCTGGGTGGAGTTTGCATGTTCTCTCCATGCTGCGTGGGTTTTCTCCGGGTACTCTGGTTTACTCCCACAGACCAAAAACATGCAGGTTAGACTGACTGGTAACTCTAAATTGTCTCTAGGTGTGAGTAAGAGAGTGATGTGATGGACTGGAGACCTGTCCAGGGTGTCCCCTACCTCTCACACAGTGATGGCTGGATATGGGCACCAGTGACACAAAAATAAAGAAGTGGGTAAAGATAATGGATGGATGGTGTTCCTCAAGGACCAGGTTTGTGAACCATTGCTCTACTGAACTCATTTTCCCAGAGCTGTTTTGTGTTTTTAGGGTGCATTACCACCTGATAGTCCGGTAGACTCGGTTCGGTTGGGGACCAATATTCATAACATTTTGTTTACTTTTGAGCTGGTGCATTTGCATTCACACTGTTCTGTGCAGTCGAGCCAACCTGTTGAACCAACCTATTCCTCCGCTCACCTGTGGGGGTGCTGCACCAAGAACTACTGAAACAAACAACACAAAAACCTCTGAAGACACTTCTTCTTCTGGAAATAAAAACAAAAACGGAGTGGCATCAAGTTTTAGCAGTTTTAGGAGATATATTTGGTCATTTTTCAACAATGGACTCAGCATGAGCAGAAGATGAGACAGATGACCATGGAGAATATTGTTTTTCACACAAGGCAGCTGACGGCTCCATATGAGGTAATAGAAATGTGTGTTTGTTTGCCCTGCGCTGTACTCCACTTCTTGCTTGTGGAGCGGGGCCCGGTCGATTGCATTCACACTGTACTCGAACCGCGCTGGAGTTCTCTTATACCGGACCGAGATCCAGGTTTTAGCCCGGGCCAGAGTTCGCCTTTTTGTTCCATGACAGAGTTCGATGGCGCATTCACACCTCCCCAAACGAACCAGACTTTCTAGGAAAACGAGCTAGAGTTTGATTAAAGCAGACTAAACAGGGCTGGTGTGAATGCACCCTTACTATCCAGCTGAGTCTACACCATTTTCATGATGAGTCTCCTCCCTCGTTCACCCTGTCCACACACACACCCTCCCTCTCCCTTCTATCCCCCTCCCAGCTCCTCTTGCTGAAATCATCAGACACAAATGTTTCCACTTCGGCTGAAACTTGGTGGATTTGTGGAGGCTGTGTTGCAGTGACATAAAGAAACCTGAACTTCTTGACCCAC